CACTCAGAGTTGGAAGCACTGCGGTGGGCAATGGAGAACATGCCTCAACATTTGCCTTGCCAGAGCTTTGGGACTGACTGCAAGGAGATGATTGCGATGCTCAGGGATCCCCATGAATGGCCAAGATTCTCAACGGAATTGGATAAACATATGACGCTGCGTATTTGCTTCCCAGATTTCAAGATCTTTTATGTTCCTAAGACGCAGAACGGAGTCTGTGATTCTTTAGCTAAGACTGCCTGATCTTTCTATCGAGAACTTATGTATGTTGGTTGTTATATTTCGGTCTGGATTCCCAGACTACCTCAAGATTGATGTAAAAAACAAAAAGAAAACAATTGAAATAAAATATATATCACACCATATTCAATATAATATATTGATGCTTGAGACAAATTTTTAGTGTATTTTTTTTAGTTTGTCTCATTTGAGATATACTTTGTTTTATGGATTATTTACAAAATTGACTCAAAATATGAAGTCGATCCCGAAAGTAGCTTATGTTTTTTAGATTTTTTTTTTGTCATATTTATCCCCAAGTTCACATTATTGACGAAAATGTCATTAAATTCTTCTTTTTTCGAAAATGGCATTTTTACTCTCTCAACCTCATCATCTTCAAGTATTTACAAGATTGTTATTGCCATCAATACGCCAACCACCATGAACAACCAGTTTGAATCTCTTAATGCACCTCACATCGATTTACAATTCTTCTTTCTCAATTCTTATAACTAAAAACAATATATATTTTAATTTCTCTCTATATTTATCCAAAACACCCAAAATTTTGATTCTAAAATTTGTATAGCTCATAGAGCCATTGAAGCTTACGATTTTTGTTGGGTCACTTTTTTTTCTTTCTACTGGACGACATATGTGTAAATCGTCCAGGAAAAAGAAAATTTCTGATACATTCCGGTCAAATGCAAAACTAACACGTTTTTCCTAGACAACTTACATATAATTCGTCTCAAGCTTTTTTTTTATCAAACAGAGGTGGATGACTTACATGTAAGTCGTCTAGCAAAAAATCAATTGCAAATGTAACCTAAATTGATGACTTCCTAGAAGTCGTCTGCGTCAGTGTTTAATAATTTTTTATTTTTTTAAAACCTATAAAGACTTTTTAATATTTTTTTTCAATTCATGTATATTAGTCAATATTAGAGCTACTGAATGAAATTTATAACTTAATTGGGGATATTTATGAGGTTACCAACATTCATGTTAACTAAAGTTTCTAGCTGATCCGAGAAGACTTCCGTGGAAGTCTTCTATGCTAGTTTTTAAGTATTCTACGCTAGTTTTTGAATAAATTGTATTTTTAGGACTGTTAAGTAATTTTAAAATATGTAAAATTCATATTTCAAAATATGTTTTCTCCCTTAGTTTTACTAAATTTGACTAAGTTTTTCAACACAAACTTATAAAAATTGTGATATGCTTTGACTAGTTACTATTGTTTGTTTCCATCTCTCAAGTATTATTGTTGTAAACACCAATGATGATTATTGTTATGAGTTGGAAGAAGGGTTAAAATGTTATATCAATACGAAGCGACCAAAATTCTTGTTTATTAAGATGAGAATAAGGCCAGTGTAATTTATTATTGCATATGGGTGATCCAAAGATGAAAAGAAGGCGATTGAAGTTTAATTACATCTTAGGAAACATTATTACTGATTTTACAAAAATAATCAAAACTAAAGAAGTACACATGCAAATCACAAAACAGGAACAAAAATATTTTAGATCACTCCTCTACAGACACAAGCTTGGACTCTATTTGATATGGAAGAAGACTCTATCAGAAGACTTCTTGTAGGAAGTCGTCTCAAAGACTTTCTGGAGAAGTCGTCTGCAAAATTTCTTGGAAGTTGTCTAGCGCATTATATTTTATAAGACTTCTGAGAAGACTTCCCATAAGTCTTCCAAAGTCTGATACAAATCTGAAAAACATGTATATCAAACCTAGATCTGAAAAATCTGCATATCAAAAAACATTCAAATGACTTAAAAACAGAGAAAATGAGTGGAATATTAGATAGATATACTTTTATAGAACACACAATGTACATATCCAAGTAGAAGATGAGAACCATTTCATAAAAAACCTAGAAAAAAACTGATTAGTGAGAAAGACATGAGACAAAACTGAAAAATTCATATAGTTTGGTATTTTCAGGTCAAAGAGATTAGAGTGGGTTAGAGAGTTTTAGTTTGGGAAAAAGGTAAGAACTTTATGCAATAGGAAGTTACCAAATGAAAAAAAAAATCAGACATAAGAATTTACCAAAACTCTCAGATCTGTTATAAAATGGAGAGACATGGGAGAAGACTCCGTCGGAAGACTTCTTAGAAGTTGCTTAAAAGACTTCATGTAAGTTATCTGGAAGACTTTCTGGAAGTAGACTGGAAGACTTCTTGAAATTTGTCTAGGCATTATATTTTAGACGACTAACATGTTATTCATCCCAGAAGTCTTCCAAATCTGAAAATCATGTATATCCAAATCCAGATCTGAAAAATCTACATATCCAAAAACGTTCAAATGGCCTAAAACAGAGAAAATGAGTGGAAGATTAGATATCTATATTTATAGAATACACAAAAATACATATCTAAAATTAATAGATCTACTATTAAATGAGTGGAAGATTAGAACCATGTGATGAAAAACCTTCAAAAACAAAATAATTTAGAGAGAAAGACATGAGACAAAAACAATAAATTGATATAAAGTTTGGTGTTTATAAGTTCAAAGTGATTAGAGAGAGGTTGAAGAGTTTTAGAATGATGAATATTATGTTTTTGTTGCAGCCACTCGAGAGAAGCAGAGAGAATATGTAAATTTTTCTTTATATAGGGAGACCAAAAATCAGATTAGGTTAAATATTTTTGATTCAGACGACTTACGTGTCAGTCGTCCAAAAGACTTTAATATTTTTTAGCAGAAATATAAAGCTTTCTTAAATTTTAGACGGGAATATAAGGACGACTTACATTTAAGTCTTCTGGTTTAAATTATTACCAGGTAATTTCAAGTAAGTCGTCTAGACCCTAAACATAACCCTTAAACAAAATTAACTAACTAAACACTTCATAAAATCAAATTAAACTTAAAAAGTGTTTACTATACACAAAAAATAAACACATATAGGTAAAAATTTAATTTTTCAAAAAAAAATTTTAGATTTTCAGTTTTATTTTAGTAAACAATTATTATTATGTAAATTTTTTTAATGAAGAAAATAATATTTAAGCGAGAAAATAAAATTTTCTTAAATTTGAGGTGGATATATTAGGTAGACTTACATGTAAGTCGTCTGGTTTAAATTATTCACCAGACGACTTACAAGTTAGCCGTCTTGCCCCTAAACATAACCCCTAAACTTAATTAACTAACTAACACTTCGTAAAATTAAATTAACTAAAAAGTGTTTACTATACACAGAAATAAATACACATAGGTCAAAGTTTAATTTTTCAAAAAAACATTTTAGATTTTGTGTTTTAGTTTAGTAAACAATTATTACTATGCTAACTTTTATTTTTCTTTTTTTCTGAATAAAATAATAGTTAAGTGGGAAAATAATTTTTTTAAAAGTTTTATGCAGGAATATTAGGACGATTTACATGTACGTCGTCTGGTTTAAATTATTCACCATACGACTTACAAATTAGTTGTCTAGACCCTAAACATAACCCCTAAACTTAATTAGCTAACTAAACACTACATAAAATCAAATTAAACTTAAAAAGTGTTTACAATATTGAGAAATAAACACATATAGGTAAGACGTTATTTTTTTTTCAAAAAAACATTCAAGCTTTCTGAAATCTAACCCTAAGAATATATACAATACTACAACATATGTTGTCAAACCCTAAAACCAAAGAATATCATGATGAACTACTTTCACTCATCTATCTTTAAAACTATTCAACTTTATTATATCTTAATTTACATCACTTAAAACTGTTCATAATTACATGATCTTAATTTTTCACTTGTCAAAATATTGTTTCAAAAATTGTAAAACTATTTTTAAGATCAACGACATCAGACGACTCAGCCGACTTACTGAGGCTATATCGTAAAAATGATTTTTGTCTTTTGTTTGATTACAAGGGATTAGCTATAGCTTTACAAGGCTTTTAGGTTAGTTTTGCATTTGATTCAAGTTTGGCCATAGATTTGAATTTAAAATCATGTTTTGAGTCATATTTGGTAAATTCCCCTTGTTTTATATAACATTTTCTTAAAAAATACCATGCCAGTTTGTAAAATGTTTACAAATCGCTATACAGCCTCGTGCATGACGTCATAAGAACTACGGGTATTCCTTTGATATGCCTCAATGTATTGCTCTTTTGGAAAAACATCTTGTAAACATTTTATCATATGCAATTTCGACGGAATTTGTGTGTGTGTGTGTGTGTGTGTGTGAGAGCCTGTGAGGTACCCAAGAAAATGAGAGAATTTACTCTCATGTAACCGTTAATGATGCTCTACTTGTCCTTGTTTTGTGTGGTATTATCTTCTGGAGAAATGAGTTCGATTATGAAAAGACATGCTTGGCTGCATGTGCATGCAGAAGTCGTCATCACTCACTGCTCTTGTGAACGGAAGTTATGAAGCGGGCAATGGACCCCATTTCATTTCTTATTCATGCTTTGGACAAGTCTGGGAAAATCGGGTCGCGTAAATTCTTCTTTTTTTTTGTTCTTTTCTACAATGGCTTCAGCACAAAAGTCGGCATGCTCGGTAGTGTAAGGTCTCTTTAGCGTAACATTTGGACTTATGTAATAATACATGCATATCACTTGTCATTTGTCAATGACCCATATTGAATACAATCCACGTTTATTTAAAAGATAGTGTAGCGATTACCACATAAAATGTAACTTATTCTAAAAAATCATCCCTTCAAAGGCACCAATAAATACTCTAAATACCATATGAGCCTGTAAATATAGTCTACGGTCTTATCCCAGTTCATGCACTGCCATTTACAAGCAAGAAACAACTTCTTATATAAAGGAAAGGTAAGTCCGTACGTGGTCGAGGATCTTACATAATAATAAATACCCTTTTATTATAACATTCTTTTGTTTTCATAATCATATAAACAAAATCTTCTAATGATTAGATCATGGAGCATCCTCACGCACTTCTAGTCGCTAGCCCTGGCTTAGGCCACCTCATTCCTATCCTAGAACTCGGCAACCGTCTCTCCTCCGTCCTCAATATCCACGTCACAATTCTCGCTGTAACCTCCGGTTCCTCCTTGACAGAAACCGAGGCCATACGTGCAGCCGTGGCTATAGGGACTTGCAAAATTACAGAATTACCCCATGTTGATATAGACCATATTGTGGCGCCAGATGCTACAGTGGTCACAAGAATTGTAGAGAAGATGCGAGTCACAATGCCTGCGGTTAAAGATGCCGTGAAATCAATGGATCGAAAACCAACGGTCATGATCGTTGACTTTTTTGGTACCGGATTGATGTCCATTGCTGATGATGTCGGCGTGAAAGCTAAGTACGTGTACGTCCCTTCACACGCATGGTTCCTGGCAGTGATGGTGTACTTGCCGGTATTGGATAAGGTTGTGAAAGGGGAATACATTGATATCAAAAACCCTTTGAATATACCAGGTTGTAGACCGGTCGGACCGCACGAGCTTTTGGACACAATGTTAGACAGGTCAGATCAACAGTACCGAGAGTGTGTGCATAGTGGCGAGGAGATATCTATGAGCGATGGCATTTTGGTGAATACTTGGGAGGATTTACAAGGAAACACTCTAGCTGCGCTTGGAGAGGATGGAGAACTGAGCCAAGTTATGAAAGTACCGGTTTATGCTATTGGGCCAATTGTTAGGTCTATTGGGCATATTATTAAATCTAATGAACTTATTGAAAAGCCGAATAGTATATTTGAGTGGTTAGACAAACAACATGAAAAGTCAGTATTGTATGTGTGTTTAGGCAGTGGTGGAACACTTTCTTTAGAACAAACGATAGAACTTGCATGCGGATTAGAGTTAAGTGGTCAACGTTTTCTGTGGGTTCTGCGTAAGCCCACTTCTTACCTCGGTGCAAGCTTGAATGATGATGATCTAGTAAATGTCAGTTTACCGGAAGGTTTCTCGAATCGCACGCGTAGTGTGGGTCTTGTGGTCACGCAATGGGCACCGCAAGTTGAGATCTTGAGCCATGAATCAATTGGTGGATTCTTGTCTCATTGCGGTTGGAGCTCTGTGTTGGAGAGTTTAACTAAAGGAGTTCCAATCGTGGCCTGGCCTCTGTATGCAGAGCAATGGATGAATGCTACGTTGCTAACGGAGGAGATCGGTGTAGCTGTTCGTACGTTGGAGTTACCATCAAAGAAAGTGATCAACCGGGAAGAAGTGGCGTCTTTGGTGAGAAAGATTGGTTTTTATACAACGTTGGTTTTTCTTCTGTTTGGGTTTTGGACAGATTTATATCAATAGTCCATCAGAAGGATAGTGAACACTTTTAACATTGAGCTTCATTTTTAACATAAGCCAAAATATGTTTCCGATACACATCTATAGTTGCGTTGAGATGACATCCATGTCGATCCAAATCCCACCACCTCTTACAAGACGGAAGTGTAACACCCTAATTTATCATTAAATCTTAGTCATTTACGTCCTCATTCACTCATTAAGCCACCGCCTTCGCTAATACCTTTGCCATCCCTCATTAAGTATCTGAACCTATAAATAAGAAGGTAGGCCTCAGTGAAATTCATCACTTTTCTCATTCCTAATCATTATAATTATTTGCTTCAGTAATCAGTATAAAAATTTCATCATATAAATAATCGTTGTTATTAGCTCCTTTGTTTTCTTCATTCCTATCTCCACATCTCTGACACTACTTTGCTCCTCACTCTCCTCGAAATCTTACGATCTATCTTTCATGTGTTAGTATAAATTGAAACTTGATTAACGAGTCAAATACAAAACCAGGAGAAGTAGATTGGAAGAAAGAAAGGAGGATGAATTAGAGGGAGAAGAGACTGAGACTGAAACAGAGCATCGTCAGTTACGAGAGGGAATTGATAAAGTTGTTTTTCTTCTTCTCAAAGTTAAGACAAAAGTTGTTATTATGTCTCTGCATTTATGACAATCTTTGTGGAATAAGTTAAGAACAAAACTTCTGGTGGTGTGCCAAGGCTAGTTAGACGTTGGTGCCGGCATATATAGATTTATTTTTAATTTTATTCTTTTTCCATAGATTTATCATTTATTAATTGCTTCTCTTTTCGTATAATATAAGACAACATTTATCACCTTTTCATTGCCTTTATAGTAGATTTCATCTTATTTCTTTTTTTACAAGATTTTATCTTCAATCTATTATGGGCTTATTTGCCAAATAGGCAAGAAAAAAGAAAATTAATTTTATAGAGAGAGTAGAAAGAGATGGGAAGAGAAAGTATAAGAGAAGGAATGATTTTAGCTACTTATATTTGTGGTTTTTTTGTTTGTACATTTGACCTAATTTCCCATCTATTATAATATCACTCAGTTAACCCAAAACAAAATCAAATCTCACTAAATCTACACAATAATGTTTTTCTGAATGATTACACAATAATTTGTTTTATTTAATTATTTCACTTTACATTTACTCAAGATAAATTTTAATGTAAGACTGAATATTTAATTACTTCATATGCACAATGTTTTTTCAAAAATTCAGATCTGAAGATTGGGATACATACAAACACTGATATAAATACTAATGGTATGTAAAACAACTTTAAAATCTTAAATATTTAAGATACAATTTTAACAAAGTCACTATAAAGCAAACTAGAATGGCTAGACTTTATTGAAATGCTTCCATTTCTAAACAAGATATTGTACCCATAATTTTAAACATATACGCAAATATTTACCCTTTCATAATTCAACAGATGTATATATAAATATATACTTCTTAAAATTTTCTATATAAACTATGGAAATTTCCCTGTTGATGTTCCTTCCGAAAGACAAATTGTGTACCGCGTCTACCGACACACGCTATCTTTGCTTCCAAATTGTTTCCGTTCCATCCCTAACTGGTGACAATTAAAATAGGAATAGGAATGAGTAGGAAAATAATAAGTAGAAACAAAATAAAAGGAATGAAAAAGAATATTTATTATTTTGGTTCCATATCAATTTTGGTAAGGAATATTTTTGTTCTATAATTCCTTAGAATTCAAGGAATGGCAAGGAATCATACGTAGGAAATATTCCTTATGAATGATGTATTTTCTAAGGAATAAGTAGGAATTGGTTATTCCCCTTCGTTCCCTGTGTTACCATTTAGACCCTAAGTGTACACAAGAAGGTTCCTTTTAAATTGTCACTATCATGAATTATTTAGGGAAAATTGGAAAAAAGAGACACTCTCAACTTAATTTTTTCTTAATAGGATTTGTAAAGGATTATTTAGGTAACTAGGATTTATATTCCCTTTAATACCAATCAAATTAATATTTTTTATTATTTATTAAAAAATCAAGGGAATTTGCACTGCATATCAACGGAAGCAAACTTTATTAGCTAACTGGTCATCGCACTGTACATTTTTCGGTAATTCCCAAAGTTGCCCTATTCCCATACGGAAAGATATTGATAGAAACCTGTTATGAATTATTTAGGAAAAATTGGAAAAAGAGACACTCTCAACTTATTTTTTTCTTAATAGGATTTGTAAAGAATTATTTAGGTTATTAGGATTTATATTCCCTTTAATACCATTATATCCTTCACTTAATCAAATTAATCTTTTTATTATTTATTAAAAAAATCAAGGGAATTTGCACTGCATATCAACAAAAGCAAACTTTATTAGCTAACTGGTCATCGCACTGTACATTTTTCGGTAATTCCCAAAGTAACCCTATTCCCATACGAAAAGATATTGATAGGGACCTGTTATGAGCATATGTGATTGGGGAAGCTATCGGTTGCAGACAGTGACAACACCAATAATGTAAAGAGTCGGGACTTATGAGTGTCTCTTTCACTTAAATGCAAAAACGCAAAAAGAACAAAATTTCAACATATCGTCTCTTTCCAAAACAAATCTCACTTCCTCAAATTCTCGTCTCTTTCGAAAACAAATCTAAGTTCTTCAAAATTTCGTCTCTCTCCAAACTGTTATGGTTGCTTCAAAAATAATATATTTTCCAGAAGACCTAGTAGATGAAGCCGAAGTGGAGTTACCGGAGATGATGTTCGCCGATGGAGAGGAACCGGTCGACGTTAGGGTCCTCACTTACCAGTCTTCCCAAGCAATCAACACCATCCTTAATGCTCTTAATGAAGATGAGATCCGTTATCTGAGAAAGTCATCTTTTGGTAAACTCGTAGATATAGCTGATAAGCCTGTGTTCTCTGGTAGATTTGCTCGATATTTACTATCCCGGCAACTTAAGGTTGAAAAAAAACATAAAGCTTGGTTTCGGTTCGCCGGAAATCCGATTAGGTTTTCATTGCGTGAGTTAGCCATCATGACGGGTCTCCCTTGTGGTGAGCTGCCAAAAAAACAAAAATTGAAGAAGAAGAAGACCATAAACGAGTAACCTTAATGGCTGGAGCTGTTTGGAAGTATGGAAGACATGCGAGTATCTAGGGCGGTGAAGATGCTCCGGAAAAAATCGTTACAGATCGAGAAATCCGGATGAAATTGGCTTGTCTTGCTATAGTTTCATCTGTCTTGCTCTCAACAAATCTAAAGATGAAAATGCTGAAGGAGCATGCTCAGATACTTGGAGACATTGACGAATTTTTGTCTTTCCCATGGGGCCTTCTTGCATTTTATATGCTGATGACTGGTATCAAAAAGAGGGATGAGATATCCTTATCTCAAAATACTATCGCTCTAAAAGGTTTTGCTCTAGCTCTCCAGCTTGTAATTGTCGAAGCTGTGCCTGCTTTGTAAGAGGTTATTCAAGATGCGTGTTCTTCTTCTGAATCAGAAAGTGAAGATGATGAAACAGACCACCATGTTAGCAAGGCCAGGAAGAAGGCACTGAATTCTGCTCATGCACAGGAAGTCGATAAATAATCTGAGGTAAGCTCATTTAATTGATTGAAATGTTGATTATTGTTACAAGAAGAACACGATTACATATATTGTGCTTATACATGTAAATATCATCTGAAATAGAATTTAATTTTATACTTAGGTTGTTGTGAAGAGTATTATCCCCCAAGATCCTAAACGCCCAGTCAATGATTCCGTATTTGTTTGGAAAGATGAGGTTTTTGATATCAAAGTTGAAAACCTTGTGAAGCTTATTTCACAAAATTTTGTGTTTGCGAAGGATATGTTCAAAGGTGGAGCTACGAAGTCAGATGTTGAGAAGTTGCGCGAAGACATGAAAGTTGTTGGTAAGAAGAAGCAAATCCGAGAGAAGGATACAATGAACTTCGTCTCCGATGAACACAAAATTGCCTCAGTTGTGAATGCACTTCTTAAGCCGGAGCTAAAACGGATTGATGTTACTGTCTCTGCCAGTCTTGCCTTGATGAAAGAGTTAGCATCGTCGTCTCTGCAGTACAAAGATGACGTCCCATCCAGTGTGTCAGTAATGATACATGAAATGAAATCTGACATTCTTAGATCGCTTGCCGCCAGTAATGCTGATGTTGGTTCTCAGGGTCACCATAAGAGTCTATCTACTGGCAACATCTCGAAGATAGTTTCTTCTAAAAAACAAAGTGGACGATCTGAGTTGGGTACTTCTAATGTAGCTTTGGATGGTCACTATATCAGACCAGCTGCGGTGGCTTCTTCTCATGTACCTTCCGAGGTTCAGCATATCAGTCCCTCTCCACTTAATGTCTCCAATGCAGGTTCCAAACAACCTAGGAGCCCAGGTCAGGATTCAAATGAAAAATCAATCGAAGATGTGTTGCGAAATATCTGCCATTACTCAACTCCTCCCGGATCTCTTAACCAAATTCCTGTAAGAATTTACCAACTATGTTAATATATTGATGAAGTCAAATCCTCTATCACATACGTATAACCGGTTATGTATCCACCAAGGATTTTAACCCGGTTTTTTCTGATTATTGTTTATATCTCAGGTCTCCGCCGCTGTTTCTCAAGAAGCACACGCTTCCCTACTACGTCAAGATAT